GGGCGGCGCGGGCTGTCCTCGGCGGGCAGAGGGCGGGCGGGCCCTCAGCTGCTCACAAAGGAGTCTTCGGAAGGCGGGCGTGACTCGGGGCAGGCTTTCTCAGGCTCAATGTCTTGGTACTCTGTGCCTAGAGGGGAGAGAGCCAAGAGGAGACAGGTCGGTCTTTCCGGTCCCCACCGGTTTCTCAGGCTATCTAAGAGCGTGGCGCTCCGGGCGGGGGTGGGCCGGACCGAGCCACGGCAGCGAGCGCTGAGTGGGTGCGCGGCACCCAGGGACCGGGCTTGGAAGTCCAGCTCTGCGAGGAGCGCCGCCTTCCGGGTCCGTCACCAGCGTGGGGAGCCCTGACCTGGGCCTGTGGACCCCGGGAGCCGCCTGGCGCGCTCTCTGGAAGAGGAGGGGCGCACCCAGAGAGCCTTGGCGTCTGGCCACGCTTCCTGGGCCCCCTTTGCTTTCCACTCAGCTGCAGGTTCGCACTGTGGGCCGAGGGAGCCGTCTCCTCGGGAGGCCGTGGCCGCACTTGAAAGGTGTAAAAACCCTGTGATGAAGGTGTCGTGGACTGTGACGTGGCTCTCGTGGCTGATGACGGGGCCTCAGACAGCCCCGGGGGGGGGCACAGGTGACAGTGTGGAAATGTCACCCCTTCCTTGGGACGCAGACGCGGCTAGTGGTGCTGGAACGTCCTTCAAGGTTCAGGGTGTCGTGGGGGGTCTCTGGGAGCCATGGTGGGGTGGCGGGGAGATCACTGGGAGTGGCTCGAGTGCAGAATGGCCGAGTCAGGGCCGGGCGGTGCTGGCACCTTCGGCTGGGTGGCTAAGGTGGAGGAGGGGAGGAGTGTTCTCTAAAGGGTCTCCTACGTTATTCAAGTAAGGATTTTTTCTCATGTTGGATTTCTGTGCCCACTGGCAAGATTCTGCAAAAGGTTTTGACTCGAGCCTTGGGCTGCTCGATTCTCCGTCACTGGGTTTCCAGGGGGAGTGTTCATGATACAGGCCGTGTTTGCTTCTGGAAGCTTCTTAAGAAGCGTTCTTAATCTGGTGGCTGGTTCAGGAGTCAGGGAGCCTGGCCGCGGCTCCTGGTGACCTTGGAAAGCCTTAGTTTCTGGCCTACAAGGTAGACCAGCAGATGCCTCCCGGGACTGTGAGGACGCTGTAGGGTGCTTCCAGGAACGCGCACTTCCGAATCTAACCGCCTTGGGCCCCCAGCACGTGCCTGGGGTGACCCCTTACAGTGACCTTCCTGCCCTGCGTATCCCACGAACCCCCAGGGCCTTTGACTCCACAGTCTCGGCAACCATCTGCCCATAGAGCCATCTCCTGTAAAGTCTGCGTGAATTTAAGAAAAACGCTATTTTGGAGGATTTTGAGGAATGGTACCGTCCCAACCTATAGAATGTCAAATCTCCAGAAAGCTTGACTAGATCCTCCATTGCTCACACCGGAGAACATAGTCACTTCGCCTTATGGAGAAACAGTCAGAATTTGAGTTTGCCAACACTCCTGACTGCTGACCTGAATTATTAACACAGAGCCAGAAACGCCCTGAGTGTGTTCCTAGAGGCCGGTATCTGCTAAGAGAGACCTGCACAGGACCAGCGTCCGTGTCTGAAGGCCCGGGCCGGGCTCCCAGGGTGGCGCCGTGACTGCAGTGGCGGCGGGCAGGAGACGTCCCGGGGTCCCCACAGGTCCCCACAGCTGAGGACCTGACCTGGAGAGCACCGGGCACCTTGCTGCTCTGAACGTGTGTTTGAGGATGACTTGGGTGTGTCTGCCTCTGGCAGTAAACACCCTATAAATGAGTCGTGTTCCGTGGGCTAACAGCAAGGGCGGACTCCCCTAGAGCAGTGCTGTGTCCCGAGGGCTGCAGTGGGGAGTTTGTGGGAACTTCAATGAGGGGCAGGTCTCCGTATGGCCAAGAACAGGGCTTTGGATCCACAGACCTGGCTTTGAACCCCGGCTCTGGCTTGTGACCTCGACTTCCTCCTGCAAGCTTTGAGCCCCGTTTCCTTTCGTAAACGGCAGCTTAACAGCAGCCCCTGCTGCACGGGCTGTTAGAACAGGCTGGTTCATAGCAAGTGCTGGGTAAATGTTAGCTGTGACTATTATTCGCTATTATTAGTGCTAACCGATTGTCCCACCTGCTGCATCTGTTAGCTCAGAACGCCAGCAGCAGAGTCCCCGTGCTGGAAGGGACTTGAAAGAGACTCGGTGTCTAGTTTCACTCTTCTTCTCCCCCCTTCCCCTCCCATGTCAATGTCCCCCATTTAAGAGGGCGGCGGCCAGGTAGACTACCTGGCCAGGTGCCAGGTAGACTGCCCAGCGGGCTCCAGGGCTGGGAGGAACCGGAAGTTGTTGCGCTCAGTTCCCCTTTACTACACAAGACAAAGACAGCGCTGCCTCCGATGATACCACCTGCAGTAATGGCTCTTACCTCTTCCTTAGGGTGGGATACCAGGGTGAGATTTACGTGGCCGGGCAGTGCTGGTGAGCGCCTGGCTGAGGGCCCCTCCTCACGGGACGTGGCCGGTGCTGAGCACTTCCGGCTGACTCCGGCCACACTCCTGCGCCTCACACCTCAGCTTGGGCGCCCGGGAGAGCAGCACCTTGGGCCTGGCCACCCCAATACTGCCCGCTCTCCTGTGTCACCGTGAGAACGCGGCTGCCCTGTTCAGACCCTGCCCGGCTGTCCCCTGCTGCCACCGGGCGCCGAGCAATTTCCGCAAAGACCACATGGTCCTCAAAACCCGAAACATGCACTGTCTGGCCCTTTGCAGCAAGTCTGCGCACTTGCGGGCCAGAGGGGCCCGTTCTGGCTGCGGGGGATTCGCCAGCTCTTCCCGCACCAGCACACCCCCGACAGGGCTCGTTCTTGTGTGTCAGGGCTGCCCGGCTCACCGCCGTGGCTCTCCCGTCAGGCCCGGAGCCCGGCACTCAGCCTGCATGGTGCAGGAGCGTTGAGTAAATGTGATTAGGAGACACCGAGCCCATACGGTGCACCCCCAGCTGACACCCCACGACAGAGAAGCACAGTCACGAGAAAGGCAGGTGCGTGCAGACGGCGCGGGGTCCGCGCCCTGGCCTGGGGCACAGCCCCAGAGGCGTCCGGCCAGTGAGCGCGCCAGTCCCGCCGGCCGGAGACTGCGCTCTGTGATCAGCTTCTGTCCGGTCAGGGCCTCCTGGCCGCTCGGGACCCGGGGCTGTGCGCCGAGGGGGAGAGGCGGACGCACGATCAAGGCGGGAAGGGCGGGATTAGGGGGTGGACGCCACCTGCGAGTCTCAAGCCCATTCCCCAGGCCATGGCAACGCTGCCCTGGGAACTGTGGCCCCTCCGAGGGGCCGGACCCGGACGCCAAGTGAAAGGGCACGGGGATCCTGGCAGCGAGGAGGCGAGTGGGCGGGCGGGGAAGGCTGGCGTGTGCCTGCGCTTCCCTGGCTCCTCTGGGCACCGCTCTAACAGCGCCCAGGCAAGCATGCTGCCGGTGGGGTTGGAAACGTCACCGTTTCTGGCCCCTCATCCCACCCAAACCAGAGTCGCCAGCCCTACGTGGTGTGTGAGTCGCCAACCGGGCCTGCACCCCCGGCCGCACGGATCTCCGCAGGTCGGCCGCCACCCAGCACCTGGACGCAGCGCCCGGCTGGTCAGCAGGCAGGTCCAGGGGGCAGAAAGAGCCCTCAGAGCCCAGGGCCGGAGCGGCAGGCGGAGGAACCAGCTCCGTGGGCCCCTCGGATCCCACCGCTCCCCTCTGGGGGCTTCTCTGTGGGCCTCCACCTCGCTTCCTGCGTGGCTGCCCCGGGGCGTGGCAAGCCCACTGGCCACCAGAGCCAGGTCTCTTGCCTGAGAATTCCCCAGGGGTCGTGGGTCTCCTCCTTGGGGTCCCCAGGTGGCACGTTTCTGGGAGTCACTCAGGCCGGTTGCTCTCCGTAGGGGGACAGGAGTCCGCGCCCCGCCGTGAGGAGGGCCCCAGTCGCAGGCAGGGCGCTCCAGCTGGAGGAGCCGGAGCGCTAACTGAGGTGGGACCAGTGATGTGGAGGTGCGGTCATCCTGGGAGCCATCTGGTGTGAGGGAGTGTACACGGACCAGTTTACAGTTGCTGGCCGCCCCAAGACAGGAGCGCCTTACTGCCTGAACCTCCAGACGCTCCTTTAAAGACTTTTCCAAGGCTAGCAAGCCCCGTGAACTCCTGGCGCTGGGCCTGGACTTGTGTGTGGTGTCCGTGGAGCTGACCCAAGGGGGCGGGCTGACCCACAGTGGAGCTGACCCAAGGGGGCGGGCTGACCCACAGTGGAGCTGACCCAAGGGGGGGAACTCGGGCCTGTCTGGCGACATGCTGATGAGCGTCCCGCCGACGCAAGCCAGGAGCCCCCAGGGGCAGGAGGGTGGTGGCAGTGCCTGCCAGGTGCGGAGCGGGCGGCCTCGGCTGGCCAGCCTGCTCTCGGGTGTCCTCGCTTGCTGCTCTCTCTGCTGGTGGCCACTGCCTGGGAGCCCTGGTTAAGATGTGAGAGGACCCGGCCACAGCACCGTGGCCTCCCGGACCCTCCAAATCTTTTGTGGCCCGGCCAGTGGATCAGAGTATGTCGCGGGGGAACCCTGGAGCTCGCTGCTGACGAAGAGCAAGTCAGGACCGGCAGGGTGGGCGTGTGCAGGGCGCCCGGGCGCGGCCCCGGACCCGGCCACGGCCTCGCCTGACGCCGCACGAGGAAGTCTCCCCGAGCCTCACCCCAGACGACGACAGGAGGCTCTCCAGCTCGTGGAGGTCCCTGTCAACACACACAGGCCCACTCAGGGCTGAGCCTGAGGACGTGGCGATGGGCTGGCGCCCTCGCGGGTCGAGCGACACCACTGCCGCTCGCAGCCAGGCTGGGCCGGCTTCCGCCCTCCTGCGCCAAGACACGCGCCACACACAGGGCCGGAGCTCAGCGTGCCGCCCCCACAGCGGGGCGAGAATGCCTCTAGCGACCCGCAGCGCGGCCCCGACGGTGACGGCCGGTGGCCAGCAATAACGCGAGGAGGCGCGTTGGCAATTCAGCACACTGTCCCCGTTGTCTCGGACGCGGCCGCTTTCGAGGCAGGCTGCACCCCCTGCTACGGCACTTTCCGTACCACACGGTGTATTCTCATTCTCACAGAGTATTTGTATGAGAGCAAAATGATAAAAAAATTACAGTAGATTAATTGCATCCCTTGAATCACATTATATTTTTGGTGCATTAAAAAAAAAAAAAAAAAGAGAGAGAGAGAAAAGCAACCAGCATAATAAATTGGGCCTCGAGACTGTGTTAGTGACGGAAGGGCCAGCACAGATTGTAGAAGGAGTTAAAAATAGTATTAGAAGACGATACAGACAACAGTTTGAAATTCGTACGCACTGCATTTCTTTTAAAAAAGGGCAAAATGTTTGGCAAATGTAAGCAAATGACTGGGCCTGGGCGGGTCTCACTGGCTCTGAGCGAAGTCGGTCATAGCCAGGTGGGGCCCGCGGCTTCCTGAGGTCGCTCTGCGGGGCGGGAGAGGGGAGCCCGGGGCTGGCTCCCTCGGCCCTCGGTCTGGAACATGGGCGTGGGCTAGTGAGAGGCGCACGATGGCCCAGCAGCAGCCGAGGGCTCTGGGCCTGGAACCGCATGCAGACTGGGGGAGGCGTCTGCGCAGTGACCCATATTGCGGAAGTTAGAGGGGAGTGGTGCCCACTCCCGGCCCCGGCGCCCGCCCCCGCCCCCGCCCCCGCCGGGGCACGGCTGTCACTAGTGCTTATCCTGGCATGTTGTCAACTCGGTTTTTAGTAGACTGTGATGTTTCTGTTTGGAGGTGTGTGGCTGTCCGGTCCGGACAAGTCCGTCTCCAAGCTGGCCACCGTGTTCCCTGAATTTGGCAGTGCCTGTTGCTTGCAGCTCTCGGCTTCCTGACAACCCAGAGGCGCCTCCGGGGGGGCCGGCTCTGGCCCCAGAGGTGGAACATCCAGCACGAGCTCCCACACGCTCCTGGTGGGAATCCTGCTGGCTCTGACGTTGAGAAAGAGGACAGAGGTCGTGTGCGTGTGTGTGTGCGTGCGTGCGCGTGTTGAGTTTGTTTGTTTGTTTTTTTTTTGGGAAGCTTTTTTCTTTTTTTCTTTTTTTAGGAAAAATGACCCTTGGATCACTAATACAGCGCTGAGCCCGTGTAGACGCTATAAAACGGATTCCATGTTCTCACACCACTCGTGGTCTTCCAAGTTATAGATAAACTTTGTCCTATGGGTCTGGTTTGGGGGCACAGGGTCCCTCCCCAGGTTGTCAAGGGTCAGAGTAGAGGCAAAGAACTCACTGGTGCTCAGCCCGCCCTCGTGGTTCTTGATGTAGCGTGCATAGTTCTTCCGCAGGCACTGCCACGTGGTGGTGTAGAGCACGAAGGCGAAGGACTTGAGCGCGATGGCGATGCTGACGTACAGGTGTCTGTAGGCCACGTTGTCGTAGAGGACGCAGGCGCCCTGGCCGCCGCAGAAGGCGCTCCAGAACAGGCAGGTGGAGTCGATGCCGGCCCCGAAGATGAGGGGTGGGGGGATGAAGCCTGTGGGGGGAAGCACACGTCAGGCGGCGCTCCGGGGCTCTCAGACGCCCCCCTCAACATCCCCCCCGCCCCGGGGTGCTGGGCCGGCGGGGAGAGGTCCTGTGGGGGGTCGGACCTGCAGGGTGAAGCCCCTGCGCCTCCGTTTCCTCATCTGCACAATGGGGTAATGTCTGCTCTCGCCAGGGGGCTGAGGAGTGAGGGCGAAACTGGGCAAAGCGTGCAGAACGGGCCTGGAGCAGGCCTCACACTAGGTGAGCGGCATCTGGTGTCAGGGCGCCAGCCGCTGCCCTCCCCTGCTCGGGTCTGGGAGCAGAGATCCCCCCAGTTTCTCGCCAACTTACAGCCCCGCCCGGGAAACGAAGGCACGCGACGGGGCTGGTCTCTTGCAAGAGCTCGGCAGGCTGTGTGCGGTTCAGGTGGGGGGTGAGCAGACGGTAAAGGCGGGCGCCCCCTGCCGCGTGCCCCCACAACTCCCCGGGCTAGGCTACTTTTCATTCCGAAGTGGAAAAAGGCTTCTGAAGTCGCAGAGCTGGAAACACCCCCACGCTAGGTCCCGGCCACTGTGTTTCTGTCCCCCGCCCGGGCTGCGGGGCCCTCTGGGGCGTCTGCGCCAGACAGGCAGACAGAGCTCTCGGCAAGCGCCCGGCCTCGCCGCCAGGGGCCCTGGCCTTTTGGGGGATTACGGCCAGAGTGGGGTGCCATCGCCCGCAGGGAGCCCTGGGGGGAGGGCTGGTGGCTGGAGTGGATGCTGACGGTTCGAGACCCCAGGCCCAGCTTCTCACTCTGAGCGTCAGCCCCGGAGTGTCTGAATCTCACTTTGCATTAAGGATGATCCCGCTGAAAACTGGATGAAATAGAGACCCTTAGTCCAGAAGACATCTACCCAGGAGATGCACACATTGCAGGGGCTGCAAGGCACCTCGGGTCCGCGGCCATCTGCCAGAGTGGACCTGTGCATCTGCAAACGCGGCACGCTTGCCAGCAGTTAGGAGGGAGGGGACCGCTCGTGACAGGCCTGACCAGGGGACGCGGCACCACGCACAGAGCAGCCCGGCGGAACCCCCCGGGCCTCGCCCAGCTTGCCAGGCAGAGCCAGAGGCCCCGGCGGCCTCGTAAACAAGCCCGTGCCCACACAGCCTGCTGCTGCTCTCCAGCTCCCCGGCAAGACCTCCCGGTTTCCCCACCCGGCTTTGTCTCCCTGTAACTGAAGAAGAGCCAGAGGGACAGCCGGGCTCACCCACCCCGAGGTGGAGACGCCGGGAGAGGGACCCTGGCCACTGCACCATTCACCTCTGCGGCCCCGGCCTTCTCAGGGGTGGGTGGCTCCGCATGACCCCTTCTCAGCGCCCCCTTTCTCTGTCCTAGTGCAGCGGGCGGAAGGCGATGCCCCCGGCGTGAGTGTGCACCCCCAGTGGGCACTTGTTGAACCCAGAAGAGCCTCTGACGCGGCGGGCGCCTGGATCTGGGCTGCGGGAGATGGCATTTCTGCAGCTGCGGCGCACACGCACCCCACCTACTGCCATTCTGGTGCCAGCTGGCGAGGCCCCGCGAAGAGTCACGGCAAGGGGAAAGCCCGGGCCTGGAGGCGGCCTCCTGTTCTGCTCGGTGTCCGTGTTGGAAGCATCTGCGTGAGACTGTAGGAGCTGAAAGCCTCGGGGCACGTCGCTGGTGCTCTAAAGCGGACTGAGTCCAGCCTGCCGCGTCAGGGTCAAGGTGAGCCTGGCTAGGGGGTCACTCACGCAGGGGCCGGGTCCTCCCACAGCCTCAGGCCTGCTGCTGCTTGTGTGTTTCCCAGGGGGGTCGGGGGACAGTTTATTCTAAGCCGTCACTCTTATCCTTTTCTGTGTCTTCCCTTTTATTGACTTAAAATTCCGTCCCCGGTTCTAGCTACCGGGTCCTGAATTTGAGATGTGCAGAGAATGCCAGGCGTGCCGTTCTGGAACTCACCGGCCTGGGGTGGGGCAGGCACTCATCCCCTATGTGTATCACCCATTGGAACCCAAGAAAAGCCCAGGCCGTCTGTGTGGGTGCTGGTGCCCAGTGGGAGGCACCCCGAAGGCTCTGTGACACCCCCACCGTGGTAACACGCCCCCTCTGGCCGCACCTCGCCATCCCCTCTGTAATCCCATAACCCCTTATTTTACAGAGAAACTGGCGATGAGCAAGGTTATTTATCTTGCTATTTCAAAACCCTCAAAGCCAATCATCTCCTTCCTACTCATTGCAAAGTCTGTTGATTTTAGAGCTATCAGGGATTTGCAGGGCCATGGAGAACGTTTTATTTACCCTTCTGCTAAGTTCCCGGGAACGCTGGCTTGCAGGGGCCTGGGCAGGGAGCCGGGGAGGGGAAGCCCAGGGGCCTCGCTCTCTGCCCCTGGCAAAGCCCGGAGTCCTCCCTTCTCGGGTGACTGGCACAGAGGGCTGGGCGGCAGCAGGACACTGGCAGCAGGTGGGGGGAGGCCCACCACTTCAGGTCGCAAGTCAGGGGAGCAAGCATGGCTCTGGGGTTCCGATTTGGCCGCTGGGCCCTGGCAAGCCTCCACTTACTGAGCCTGCTTCACTGTTCAGGGAGTGGGCACAGGACGCCTGCTCGGGCCGGGTTTCCGGGCGGGTTTAAGGAGCCAGCGCGTGGAGGCCTCCGGTGCAGGCTCGCAGCAAAGCCGGCTCCCGCCCTGCTCTCTCGGCGCCTTGGAGAAGTGACCACTGGCCCGCCTTGAAATCGCCGTCTGCGGAGAGCCGGCAGGGACCCCCGTGGGGCAGCGGTCCTTCACATGGTGAGGGCCAGTCTGTTTTGCCAGGGTGGGGGCGGTGCTGGTGGGAGGATCAGCTGTCCCTGGAAAGGGGGCGCAGCAGGTCCAGTGTCCACCCTGCGCAGGGCATCTATCCATGGCCACGCCCTGGCACCGAGGTGGCGCACGGGCAGGAGGGAGCGGCGACGGTGTGGCTGCCTCCTCGCTGTGCTGGAGAAGAGCGGTCTTCTGGGGGTTGCAGGAGAAGCCCCGTCCTCTCCCTTGTCCGGGGAGGAGCCCTCGGTCCCGCCCCGGGGCTGGGGAGCCGTTGTCGGGTGGGTGTGCCGGTACAGACGCTCAGAAGGGCTAGACCTGACTCGGGCGCCATCCGGCTGGCTCGCAGCTTCTCCATTCCCGCCGGAGCCGCGGCGCCTGTGAGGACACCGCCTCAGGTCCCTGCAGTCCACTGGCAGCAGAGACTGACTCAGGGGCCTGCGGCTGGCGACTGAATTCACTCTCCTGGGGGAAACGGCCAGGCCTGTTTAGGTTCTCGGGTCTCAACTCACAGGCTTCTGTAAGAAAAAAAATTCACGTTCCTCACGGGACAAAGCTGGAGCTGGGTCACGCCGCCGTTTCCATGCCGAGAGCCCGTCCCCTGCCCGCCGGCCAGGGCTTCTCTCTGCTTCCGCCTGGGCAGTGCGGGGGGGCACAGACGCCGCCCAGGCTGCGGCTCCTCTTTCTCTCCGTCCGTGCTCTGCCCTCCCTCGGGCAGAGCCTCGCTGGGCTTGCTCTGCTGTCCTGCACCTGGCCTCAGGTGGGAATTCAGAACGTGTGTCACGCTCCTGCCTCTGAGCGCTGGCGATGCTGAGAGCCCAGAGGCATCCTCCTCCCCAGGCAAGTCAAGGCCTCTCTGGGTCCTCCATGCCGCCCATGGTGGCTTCAGTCTCCGCCCGGCTCTGGGCCGGAGCCGGCTGCTGCCCACCTCAGCAGCCTGTGGCCTCGAAAGCGGCACCCGGAACGTAGCAGGAGCCGGGGAAGGTGCTTCGCCCACTGAGCTGGGTCGGCAGGCCCCGGCAGCCTGGGATCGGGCCTGCAGGCGGGCGCCCTCACCCAGCGAGGAGTCTGGGAAGCTGATCACGCCAGGCCCTGCAGGCGGGGCTCGTCCAGCGCCGGAACCTGCCCACCGCGCAGCCGCCCCACGTGGTCAGCTCTTCGCTCCACCTCGGTAAGGGAGACGCCGCGGCGGCGGGGTTCAGCTCTCTCTACACATGGTGTCTGCTCAGTTCCTTCAGCTCTAGGCTGCGCCCCCGCCCCGCCCCGCCCCCACCGGTCCTACCAGCCGGCCAGTCGCCCCAGCCGCTCTGACATCCGCTCCCCAAGGCCCGCTCTGCTCCTGCTACCAGCGTTTGCGCTTTCACTCCAGGGCCACTTGGCCCTGGTGTCCTTGCTGCCAGCCCTGTGCGGGGCAGGGCCAACATGCTGCCCCTTCCTTGCTCCCCTCAGCCTAGTGTCTGAAGGGGCGGGCGCCCGCACTGACCCTTTACCTCACGGTCACACCTCTCTCAACAGAGCGGCCCCCTCCGGTCGCGCTCCTGACCGCTGGCCTCCTCAGCCCCAGCCTTACACCGGCCCGAGCACACCCTCTCCTTACCCTGGTGATTGGGGCACTTCGCGCTCGGGCAGGACCCCAGCCTGTCCAACCCCGTGTCCATCTGCGGCAGGCTGGGCGGCTCCTCCGCCCCAGCTGTCCCCCGAGCTGTGCCGGTGCCGTCTCGGCTCTCCACACTGTGCCACCCCCATACTCCCTTCTCCCCCAAAGGCGGCGCCGTGCCGTGGCCTCCTGGAGCAGAGTCGCCCAGCCTGCTCGCGGCCCCGGGTGGCCCCTCTGCATCCCGCAGGAGCAGGCCAGGAGCTTTCCAAGAGCAGGACCCGAGCCGAAGCTGCCAGAAGGCGTCGCGCGGGCACGTTGCCGTCCAGTTGGTCAAGCTCTTCCGCATGTGTGCGCGGGTGGCCGGGCCACGGGGAGGCTCGGCCCGGCCGGGCGGGCACAGTGACGGTGCTTCAGAGACACGCGGCAGGCGTCTGCGTGCCCCGTGCCGGTGCTTTCCAGTGCTGCCCCTTGTCCTGCGACGGCCGTTAACTTTTCAGAGAAAACAGCGTGCACGTGTTTTTTCATTCTGTGCCAACGAGTGTTCACTCGCTCGGCGTTCACCATTTTTACCAGCTGCATCTCCTTATCCGTATCCTGTTACCTCCGAATCCGCTTAGGGGTGCTTAGGGGTGCAGGCTGGGACTCCCGGGGCCCCCGCCGCCCCAGGCCTGCTCGTCGGAGCCGGAGCAGAGCTGGGCTCCCTCACCTGGGGCTCAGAACCTCGAGCGCGCAGGAGTAAGTGCTGTCGACGACGGTGTGTGCAGGGGTTCTTCACCCCCGAAGAAAGCACCTCCCATCGCCGCCACCTGGGATGGCGGCCCACCCCCCCCAACCTAGGTCGGCTTGGGGCGGGGGGGCGTCACAGAAAATGCCTGTTTGGCCTTCCCAGAGCCAAGGGAAAAAGCCGTTTCTCAGTCCGTGAAGTTTCGGTTTGAATTACTGCTGGGCTTGCGCTCTTCACAGACACCATCTCACTTCATACCACGACACAGAGGAAGCCCAACATGCCGGTCCGGCTTCCCTGCGTACCCACAAACTTGCACGGACGCTGGCTGGGCGATCCAGGAGGGGCAAAAATGGCCCCAGCGACTAGCGGCGAGTGGTCGCCCTCAGTGGAGGGGCAAGGCGGGCAGAGGCTTCCAGGGAGGCCCCTGCGGCTGGTTCCCGCCGGCTCTCTAGGAATCACCTCACAGTACCTCACAGTACGGGACCTTCCCGGACTATGGCTAGACCCTTTAAGGATAACAGCTGCCACCACTTCCAAGTTCCATTTGCCAAGATTTCCCCATGTTCGCGCACACGTTGAAAACATCAGCGCACACAGTACCTTTTAAGACCCTTTCCTAGTCAATCAGCATTTCTCTCCCCAGGCTTTTACCTCTGGAATTACAGGCCAAAATGCATGTAACTAATACTTTCCTGTTGGAAATCGGGATTGCTGCCATTTTTCACTTTTAAAACATTTCATAAAAATTTCTAGAGTGCGTAGTCTTTGTGCTCACCCATGGTTAAAAATGTGGAATGAAGAACTTAATCTTCACTCCGAAAGGGTGGTCCACAGTGATCCCTGCGCACAGTCATGTATCACTCACGCCCACGAAAGAAGTCCCGTGCCCGGCCGTGCACGGAAACACATTATCCCAGCTCGACCCTGGTCTCAACACAGGCACGCTGGTACACCGACAGTGGGCTGACGGCGTGGGGGGCAGGGGCCCCTGCCGGCCTTTGCCGCTTCGCCCCAGGGCTGGCTCCAACCTCTGCCTCCCCGACTTTAAATGGAGGCGCTGGACTTCACTCCAATCGACACGTGCCATGGAATGCCGGTTCTGAGGCATGCGGGCCACACCGCTCCATCCCGGGGCCCCCCGGTGAGTAAACTACACCCATTTGGGAAAACAGGCCCCAGTTTCTCGGCAGGCACCAGTGTGAGAAGCACCCCCTGCCCCACCCCACACACCTTGCAGCGGTCTACACATGAACCATCGCGAGCTGCTGAGGGAGGAGCCAGAAGACCCCAGGGAAGCCCGTCCCCTTGGGTGCCAGGGCTGTTCTCCCCAAGCTGCTGAGACATCTGGGCGCAAGCCAGGCCCTGTCCGAGAGGCACGAGCTCGTGAGACCCCAGGCTGCTGCGCTTAGGAGGAAGCCCTGAGCGCAGTTCTCAGATATGACAACTCTCCTGTTTACCAAGAATTAAATGTCACAGAAGAAAAAAGGCAAACCCAAGAAGTAGAACAATTTTTGCTGCCATTTACTCACCTGGTTATAAATAAGCAGCCAATTCATTATCGAGGCAATAAAGAGATACGTACCCAACAGGCGCAGGAGGAGGAAAAGGACCCCCAGGGCGTAGGACTTGAGCTCTGGGCTGACGGTCCTGGGCAGAGAGGAAGAGGGAAGAGAAAGGGAATCTTATCACCAGCTTTAATTAACGGCCCCAGGGCGGTCACAGCTGCCCATCAAGACACCTTTAGAAAATGACTAATGGTTCTTCTCTGCCCTCCCTGCCTAAAATCTCAAAAATAACTCCACTGCATTGAAAAGATAAGTTTTAGAATTGAACAGCTGTGTTTGAATAACTGGAGCTAATCTTGTGACTCGGAGGACCGAGGACCGAATGCAGATGTGGCCTGGAAAGGCTTTATTAAAGCTGTTTGCCTTTGGTGGGACAGATGCAGGCCAGAGTCACCACAGACACAGCGGGGAGCAGAACAGGTGGATCCCCTGACATACACTGCTGAGGGGAGCAGTGGGGAGACAGGAGGGGTCTGCCGCACCCTGTGGGTCCCTCCCTGGCCGGGGACCGAACTCAGGCTGTAGCAGTGACAGGCTGAGACCAGGGAGGCCGCGGGCTGCATCTTCAGTGACTCTGGCTAGAGCGGGGGAACCAGCCGTGTGCGCCGAGGAACAAAGCAGAACCGTGACCCCCGTCTCCATCCTGGGCCTCTGTGTGACGACTCGTTCACCCTCATCCACTGTCAGCCCTCTCTCCACCGGAAAAGGTACCTTCATGTAGTCACAGGTCTCTGACATAAACGACTCGATATCCTTGTCTTGAGTTTACCGACCACTTCAGAAGGAGATTCTTGCACGTTTTCGAGAACATTCTCTGAGTGCAACATTCTCTGGGCTGGGAGTGATGACCAAGTCCCACTCCAAGTAGAAGGGGCCTCGGGGCTAGTGACAGGGGCATAGCTTGGCCTCAGAACACCTGCCCAGGCACTGGGCAGTTCTCTTGTGCACACCAGGTGCAGGGCTCATGGCAGGCCACTGTCGTCTTGGTCCAGAGGCCAGAAGGCTCGGTGCAAGCAGCAGGATATGGCGGTGTCGCCCTCGTCCTGGCCCCGCTTGAGATGCGCAGGGAAAATACCAGGTAGTATTCTTGGGACGGTCAGAAAGAGCACGGTGCAGGTGACCTGGGCAGCAGGTGGCGACTCGCAGAGACCACCCTCCGGCTGAGGCGGTCAGTGTCTGCTACCAGAAATGGGCTCCTGCCCTCTGGAATCACGTTACGAAGCCACAGCACGGCTCCGGCTTTTGCACAGTCATTACCAGGTGCTGAGCTGAAAGGTGCATAGATAGAGGCAAACTCCCCACAGCAAGCAGGCACACTGGCATCACGAGCTTGAATATTCATCACTTGAAATCTGATGTCCGTGGCGCGCTCGGGTTCCTGGGATAGCGGCACGCAGGCGCTGCGCACTGCCGGAGGCCCCGGGGAAACTGGTTCCACGGGAGGAGCAGTCCTCAGACACCTCCCGGGGAGATGGGGCTCAGCTGAGCATTATTACTACAAATTCGGGCATGGCCGCCCCCAGTGGCGTAGTGGTGTTAAAGCAACACGTGGTGAAGCTCTCCAAGGTCCCTGCAGCACGAGTTTGATCCCCGCCCTGGAGGCGACTGACCCCCAGGGCGCGGCAGACGGTTCCCGACCGCCCGCTGCTCCCCTCAGCAGTGAGCTTCCTCATCTGCCTGTTCTGCTCCCGCCTCTGTCTCTAGGGAATTCTCTCGCTGCCCCTGCGCCTCTGGCCTGTACCCCAGTTCTGTATGCACAAATAAATCTTAACAAAAATGTGGGGCAAAGTTGGGGTGAAAAGTACATGCCACAGCTCACTGCATCCCTCTCTGGGCCTCGGCCTCGGGGCTGCAGAAGGGGGCGCTGAAGGGATGGAAGTGTCGGAACGCGAGGGCCTGCAGGGCCTGTCCAGGACGTCCCAGCGCACCTCGCTGGGGGGGTGGGGGGGTCTGCCCCCGTCTGGGCGGGCGAGGTCTGGAGCTTCAGGGCTCAGTGCTGGCTGGCACCTGGGCCCGGAGGCTGCACCCAGTCCGGTCATCTGGGGGAGCACGCATGAGCCTGTGCTTCCAGCAGGCCCCGGGAGCCTCGCAGCTGCACCAGCGTCCCATCACAGCCACCACCGGTGCCTGATGCCTTGGTCAGAATCTGGCGCGCCGCTCGGGCTCGGCCCGGTCCAGCCCCCTGTCCGGTTATGGTGCCGGTGGCGTGAGAGAACGGCAGCTCCTCGTTCGTCCTCAGACACAGGCAGTCTGCCTCGGGTTAGACAGGCCGCTGCTGCTTCCTGCCCCAGGGCACCTGTCCACCAACCCAGATCAAGGCCCAAGCCTGGACCACTGCCCTGCTGGGGACTTTAAAACTCCCTCTGCTTGCCGCAGGCAGGAGTCCCCTCTGGCCCCTGCCTTGGCCGTGGACGGGCCCTCCAGGCCTCCCGAGTGGGCAGGCCGCACCCCGCCTGCAGCCCCCGCCCCCCCGCGGCCAGTCGGGGTGGGCGAGGCGCGGCCACGCCCCGGGCACGCTCACCTGATGAGGATGATGACCGAGGGCGTCTGCGCCATGGCCCCGATCATGCTGCAGGCGCACATGACGCACAGGAAGGTGAGGAAGGCCTCTCGGCACCCGGGGCTGGGGCACTTTCCGGGAACCACGGTGGCGTTCTCGGGAGGGACGGTGGTGAGGCATGCACAGCCGGTGAGATTCTGGAAGGGACAAAGAGCCGGCCCTTGGCGCTCCAGCTTCCAGCACAGCCGCGCCGGCCAGAGCGGCCACAGGCCGAGCCGGGCCAGCGTCCGTCCGAGCCCGCTGCCCAGAGGCTGCCAAGCGCGTGCAAGTGAGCGCCTCTGTGGGGAGGGGAGCCGGCACCCCGTTTGCCGGCTCCAGACTGCCCGACAGATGTGTCCCCCCAGCACAGTCAGAGAGGAATTTCACCCTGCCTGGCTGCCTGCTCCCTGGCTCGCCAGAAGTTCCGAGAGTGGGGGGCGGGGGTGGGGAGGAGAGCGGGAGAGGGCTGAGGGGCCGAGCCCATCACGCCTAACAGTGGTGCAGAGGCCTTTAATAAACAAAACGAAAACAGCGTAAACAAGACATGGCTGTCCATTGGCTGACGCCTGACCGCAGCTCTCGGGGTGCAGCCTCCTCAGGGCCAAGCACACGCCCTGCGCCCTCCTCTGCTCCCTGCCTGCCAACCACCTCCCCTGCTCAGCGGGAGTTTCTTATTCCACAGTGTGGCCTGGGGTGCTTTTCGAGGTGTCTCCCGACAGAGGACGACCGACACTCGCTGGACCCCTCTTCCCACGCAGGCTGCGCAGAGGAGGTCCTGTGTGGACGCCCGAGGACCTCAGCGCCCGAGCCCCTGAGAACGCTGTGTTCAAGCCCTTCCTTTATTTCCAGACGCAGCGCTGAGGTCTCCCTCCTGGCTCGCGCGGAACCCCAAGTCCCCGCTGCGCCTGGCACTTCCTGCAGCAGGGCGCCTCCTGCACCTCCAGGGACTCGTGTCCAGGGAGCCCACGCTCCTGGCCGAGGGCCGTGTTCTGCGCCTGCCTGACACGGACGCCGAGCACACACCAGGGAGTGTCCTCGCCTTTGGCTGAGAACCAAGACCAGCCTCAGCTGTGGCTTGTCCGCCTCGGCTTGCCCTGCCCGGGAAGGAAGCTGCCATGGCCACCCAGCCTCACCCCCTCGCACCCTGGCAACTCTGACCCGCTCTGAGCCACGGAGAAGACTGGGGGAGCTGGGCCCGCTGGGGGCGAACCCCTTTCTCTTCCTCGGCATGTCCTTCCCCGAGAACTCGCTCCGCTCCCTCCTCCAATGTTCCTGATGTTTGAACCCTGCAAACGTATCATTTCCTCAAAAAAATTAAAACTCAAGAGCATGAAAAAGTAAAGAATGAAAGACAAATAGCAGCGTCACTGCAAACTGTACTCCTGTGCCTCCCTCGGTCATTAATTTAAATCAAGAAACATTCCAATGATGGGAATAAATAATTACAATAAAGCCGGGGACCATAAAAACAGAAAATCACTCTCTGGGATCTCGGATGCTTTGCCACCGAAGGAAACCACAGGCGTGCTGTTTTGACAGCTCCTATTACGAGAACAAATACTTGTCATGTTTCAAAAACACTGCAAATAGAACTGTTTGTTTGGGCCCCACACCCAAGTCCCACAGCGGCGCATCAGTTCTGATTAATCACACAAGCAGGACTGATTTCTAGGTTAGAAGAGCCTTTCTCGGGGCGATGACCTGTGTGGTGAGTTTGCTGTCAGACTAGCATGGCCCCGAGCGACTCCCAACTTCCAAGCTGCTGCTTTCCTCGAACACACGCGGGCATCAGGGAGCACCGGCTGCTGCTGCCCAGGAAGGGACTCGCCGCCCGCTGCGGCCTGGGGGCTGTGCCGCACGGTGGCCACGTCCTCTGAACCCCGCGCTCCCGCGTGGCCTCCACACTGATGGACGCTCGTGATTCAGGGCCGCTTCTCCGGCGCGGCTCTGCCACGTATCACTGTCCTCTTGCCACTCAGAAGCGACAGCTTCTGCTTCCAAGCAAGGACGTCGGAGCCAACACCGGCAGCGGCCTGCAGGCGGGGGTGCAGTGCGGCAGGAAGGCTCACGGCCGTCGCCGGCCACGGCTGCAGGCTGACGGCCGGCGAGGACATGAAAGCCAGTCCGCCTCGCACCCTGTCCTGGAAGGTCCCAGAACAGCCTGCCAGCACTGAAGTGCCTCCTGCCGGAGGAGAGGCTTGCTCTTCGGGGAGCAGGGGCCTCGCTCTTTGTAGGTAGGACGAGGTGGGTGGGGCGGGAAGGAGAAGGCCCTGGCTGCAGCTCAGAGCGAACCCCAGGCCCTCCTGGCTGCCCCCAGCTCCCGCCGGCCTTCTCTGCGGGCAGGGACACGCACGAGGCGGGCAGAGTGTCGGACCACCTGCTGACCTGTCTACAAGCCGGGGCCTGGCGGGCTCCTCCCTTTAGCGGGAGCAGGGTTCTCACTGCAGGGGCTCTGCCCGGGGTGAGCTTGCCTTTGCTGCAGGCTGGCTACCGGCCAGGGACACGCGAGGGCGTCGCAGCAACTGAGGCCGGCCCGCTGCAGGCGAGGCGCCAGGCGGCCTGACCACGGGGCAGGACCCCTATTTCAAGAGCTCCCGGGCGATGCCAGCGTGTGGCCGGGCTGAGGCCCCCGCCCGCCAGGGCCCCTCTTCTGTCCACGGGGGCCGCCCCCCACCGACCACGCCAGCCACGCAGGCGTCCCGGGAGCACTTGAGTCCGGACAGGGACGGCTCACGGGCTGTCCAGCCCCCGCGCGGCCGTGCCACACCGCCCTGACAGCCAGGGGTCGACCACGCGCTCCTGGAGGCTGATAGGAGCTTGTTTTTGAGTCAATTATTCAGAACATCAAACAGAGACCGCTTCCAGCCGTCAGCAGCGGCAGGCACACCCACACGCTGCTGCCGGAATAATTACTCCCGAGAGCGAAAGGTGCGGAAACAATCTGGACAATATATTCTTGCCAAAGGAAGCTGACGGAATTAACTTGCAATCTTTTTGGTCATCCCTTCTGGTCACAGGCACGAGGAGACTTAGAAACTGTATATTAAAGTGCAATCCTGGAAACTTCCATGGTCATTAGCCGACGAGTTATAAAATAACAAGCGTCAAAGCCCAGGCCAGGGCAGGAAGGAAGCGCTAATATCGGGGGGCTGCTAACGAGAGCCAGACTGTCCCACAATTGGGGTTACCTGGCCCGAGGCTTCACATCTAATCCAGATTCAGGAAATTTTCACAGATCTCGACGGGAAGCTACCAAGCAGCAGGAGGCGAGCAAAGCCCGAGTCTGTCTTTGGCGGGTCCGTGGCTGCCGCTGCGGCCGAGACGGCCATGCCCTGGGCTCCCTGCGGGCCCTGGGACGTGGGCACCGAGCCCGGCCAGGCACCCGTTGGCCCTGCTGGCGCGGCAGGCCGGGCTCAGCACCCCCAAAGTCTGCCTCCACCTCCGGAAGCCAGAGTCTCAGACCGCCGGTGACCCCGGGGAATGGGCGCCCAGCGCTGCCTGCACCCCAGGGGCGAGGGCAAGGCAGGGGCCTGGCAGTGACCCAGGCCAGAGGGCACGGAGGGGCGCACCTAGCTGCACCCCGCGGCTGGCTGCTCTCCACAGCTTCAGCCGCCACGGCCCGGACGCTCCGGCCGGGGGAGACGCGACGCGCCAGAGCCCAGGGAGGGCGACCGGCCGGAGAAGGCTCTAGAACGGAGACCAGCTTGTCTCCGGACACTGGCCCGAGCGGAGTTCACTGAATTCTCTTAACAGGACAACAACCGAAACTGATTTATGACACAACTTTCTGGATATTAAAATGTTAATGAAATTGTTGTCGTGAAAAAGAATAGCTGGTATTTTTATGTTAACCATTCTCAAGGCCCCGTTCCTGTTAAAAAATTCATTTCTAGTCGCATAAAGAAATTGCTTTATCACCTAATTTAGAAAAGCCATTCCTCTCCCTGCCCCCCTCCCCTCGTGATTTATTTCTCCATAGAAAAATCTTCATAACCAGTCAGGAATGTAAATGTTAAAAGCAAGGAAAAATGAAATCTTTGGAAATGAAAATAAACGATCAATTTTTCTTCTTTCAGGGAAATTGCTGCTCCCCAAAGACAGGCTGTGGGAAACGAGCAAATAGATGATCCCAACTCTAAGTTCCCTGAAAGCCGCCGCTCGCCCGCCGCCTCACTGGAGTCCCTGGACGTTTCAAGGGCGCCTGTGGGAGCCAGCCCTGGCTTAGGGCTTAGGGCGCCAGGAGGCGGGGGCAGCCCAGGGACCCGGGGGTCTCCGGGGAGGCGCCGCCCCGAGACCGCAGGGGCCAGGACCCCGGGACAAGGTGGGGAGGGGCGGGGAACTGTGAGTGGGGTACGGTGGCGGAGCAGGAGCTATCCAGCAGGTGGGAAGAGTATGAGGGGACAGCTGGTGAGTGCGTGCAGCTGAGGACCGCAGGCTGAAGGCAGCAGGCGTGCAGACCTCGTTTACAGGCTCTGCACGGAGGCGTCACAGATGTCACCCGTGTGGAAGGGGCCTTCCCTGGGGAAGGATTTTTCGGTCTCCAGAGGCTGCCGTTGCCGGGAGCTCAGTCCCCAGCCCTGTGCCCCGTGACGCCCTCTCTGCCTCCGTGTATGGCTCACGGGGAGCCGCGTGGGCTCGCCGTCCTGCGGTGGCTTTGGCCGCCTGGCGCCTGAGTGCCCGCCCACAGCCGCCCCACCCGTCCGGGCGAGGGTGCCCGTACCGTGCTGTTGCAGCCGGCGAAGCAGGCGGACAGGTAGGTGATGCCGTCTGCCCCGCACACTGGGGTGAAGGAGTCGGTCTGGCATTCACAGTTTTTATTGCAGGGCGAGTACGGGTCCAGGACCGAGCCAGGTGCTGAGCTGGAAAAAAGAAGACACACAGCGGTCAGAGGAAGGCCAGCTTCCAGCAGGGGCCCCCAAGGACGGCCTCTGCTGGCCACCGGCGCCTCCTCGCTCCTCCTCCTCGGTCCTAACGCTGCCTGCCCGGCCGCTGGGACCTGCGCAGGGCCACCTCCGCCAGGAAGCCTCTCCAGAGGCTGCAGCCTCGGCTCCTTCCTTCACCCTGGGTCCTTGTCCGGGTGACCCTCATGAGGCCCAGTACTCTCCCACAGCGAGACTGGCCCCAGTAATTATTGCCCGTTTGATCTACGTTTCTGAGAAACATCACGCCAGCATCTTTTGCACCACGAGGCGCTGTTACGAAGAGCCAGCAAGCTGCGGGGCGTGGGGTGTCTGCCAGGCAGGGAGTGAGGCAGTGTCTCTCCTGCCCTGTGACTTCCCGCTGAGCCTTCCGGGGCTCATCCTGACAATGGGGCAGCTGGCGGCTCGGTCAGCTCTGTTCAGGCTACGACTTTTATTCTCAGGAAACTGAGAATTCCTGAATTCTCAGGAAACTGAGGCGCGGCCACGTGCCGTCACTGGCTGGAAGTACACAGTGCTTATGGGGGGGAGGAGCGATAGGGACCCCGCAGTTTCGGCAGAGCTGGCAGGGACTGCGGGCATCCTTTTCTTCGTGAGGGCAGGGCCACTCGGGAAAGGTCCTGGGCCTGACACACTCCAAGCTTCCTACTTGAGAGCTGGCTCGGGAAGGGTGTGGGCTCCATTTCAGTTTTTGCCATCGCACGCAAGGCCAAAGGCACCATAGGTGGGCAGGGAGGCGTCAGGACGGGGCGGGGCAGGGCAGAGGAGAGCCTGCAGGGTGGGAGATGAGTCCTGGCTCTCCTGCATTTTCTGGCTTTAGCTTCAGGAGCAGGCCTGGTGGGCTGCCTGGAGGAGGGGACAGCCACGCTGCAGTCCTGGGGTTCCAGGCTGAATTCACAGGGAAGTCTCAGGTGCCATGGAGAAAGGGGCAGCTGTTGGCACCGGGCCTGTAAGTCTCCCCCATAAGCCCCTGGAACGGCGATTCTGATTTAACCACAGTCTTGGGATAACAGGGAAGAGATCAGAAAAGTGGCTCCAGAAGAACCTACCAACCCCCTTCTCTTGACTGTCCCCCAAACACTGATCGATACCAGAACTCTCAATTACTACGAGTCTAATGATAGTTTCTGAGAGTAAACTTAAGGGACTTAACACATATTTTTAGCTCAACTTTAAAATAAAATCTTTATTTTCTATCTTCATGTCAACCCTGAAGTGCAAAAACAGCAATGTGAGTCTTTGGGGACCGAGTGCTCCACTGTCTTCCTGGCTCTCAGGCCGCAGGGGGTGGGGGGCACCTGCCCGCTTAGCGCAGGGGGGCATGCTGCTTCCCGTGCCCCGAGTGCGGCGGCGCTGGGGCGGTGCGGGCACCCCGGTACTCACGTGTTTCCGTAGGGAACGGTGACCCCGGCCACGGGGCCTGTGTCACAGCCCAGGAAGAGGAAGGAGACGTAGCAAGCCGTGGACACCAGGTTGACCAGCATGGCCATGCGAATGGCCCCCAGGGCAGACAGGCTGAGCTTCTTCACCAGGAGGCCGCCCAGGAAGATGCCCAGACAGGCGCACGGGATCGCCGTCATCCCTGGGGAAGCAGAGACACAGCAGCGGTGAGCAGGGGCGCCGGCCCCGCCTGGGCCAGGGGGCCCTCCCCACAGGCACCCGGTCTCTACGAGGACCTCATTTCTGCCCTCAAGGAGCAGAATGGGTAAAACGTGCTATCTTAGGGTCCAGATGCATGTACCTGTCCAGGTAAGGGGGGGTGCCCCCACGGGACACGCTGCTGACATGGGGCAGCTGGGAGAGACAATTTGTGGCTCCCTAAAACTGCACGTTTTGGGCAAGTGGGTAGACATAGCAAAGTGGGGGTGTATGTGCTTTCTGCGCACCGCTGACGCGTGGCGGGAAGGGGACCCCAGGCCACCGGTGGCCTTCCCACCCTCTCTTCTAACCGGGCTGGGAGGCTCCCTGGAAGGCCTGGCGGCGGCCTAGTGAGATGCTGGAAGCGCCAGCCCGGGAGCCACGCGTTAGCCGGCCCTGACCTCTCAGGAGAGGCGCCCATCCCACTGCGCTTCCTAGTTCCGGGCGAGCTCTTGCCCGCCGTCTCCCGGCTCTCGTGCACAGAGCTGCCGGGGCAAGGGGGCGGGGCCATACATCCCCACTCCTCAGCCTTGGGGGCTCAAGGGGCTTCAGGCGCACCAGAGGCCTCGCCAGGTGCCGGGTTCCTGCTGCTGCTCTGGGGATTCGCGCCCTCGCACTCAGCCTTTATCCTGCACTGACCGTGCACAGCCACTTCCCCGGCCCAGGCTGCCGCCTCCCTGCCTCAACAGATCTCGAGGTCATTCGACTACACCCACCAGCTGGCAAGAGCTAAGGGGGTGCAAACTAATTTTAATATTAGAGGAGGAAATAATCAGGAAGCCTGAGCTCCGCAAGGAAATAGCACAAGTCACATTTTAAAGAAACGCAAGGCCCCGTACCCTGTGCCGCTCTTGGACCCGCTGGGCTGCTTCTCCGCCTGCTCCTGCCCGTGACAGAAGTGACCCTGGCGGCCGTGCACCTCCCCACGCTCGCCCAGGTCGTGCTGGCCACCACCGAGGCCCACTCCCCGGCCTGTCTGTCCCGGGAACGGCAAACCCGGCCAGCCCCAGCTCTGCTTTGCCCGTGCTCCCCCGACTGCCGACCCCTGCAGCGGGCCTGCCTCCTCACCGGGGCTCCCTGGCCCTTCTAGCCCTTTTGATTATGCCTAGGCTCCCCCACAATCTGGTGTGTCTCATTTAATCGTGGGCCTCTTCTTCCTGCCCTCCCTCTCCGCTCAGATCCAGCTTCCCAAAAGACAAGCGCCGGCTCGCCCCGCCGTCCGGCACAGGGCGCCCAGCCGGCTGTGGAACTATTCTCGGGGCGCACGGGCTACTGGCGTGCAGGCGGGTCTGTGCGAGCGGGCGCTGGCCGGAGCGCCCGCCCAGAGAGCAGCTCTGGGTTGGGCTGGTTTCCCAGCAGGACAGCGAGGGTCACCTGGTGCTGCCGGTAGCTATGGCAACAAGCTGGGCCCTTCCCTCAAGCCTGCCTCTGCCAGGCCGCCCCCCACGTGCTCTGGCTCAAACGCGCAGGCGGTACCAGACCGTCGCCAAACTCCATCCTCAGCACAGCGGCGCAGGCAGGTCGCGTCCTGCTCACCTTCGCGCACACAGCCTGGTCTTCTCTGAACTAGGCCCCTGCTGCTGAAGACGACTCCCTGGGGGGCCCCAATGTCCTGGGGCGACGGCGCAGCCCACTGGTCTCCAGCTCCCAGGGCCTCTGTGCTCCCTCCCGCAGCCCCCAGGGCTCCCTGGGACAGGGCGTGCGTCCGCCCACTGGCCAGCTGCCTGCATGAGCGAGGCGGGCGGGTCCCAGCCCTGGCAGCGCCTGGGAGCCAGGCGGAGAGGCCAAGGGCACTGCCGTCTGCCCCCAGACTACTGATCTGCTTGTTACAGAACACACAGCTCTGCCCTGGATAGACAACAGCCCGCACATGGAAGTCGCCATGAGCGTGGTCCAAATAGGAGGATCAGCAGCAGCGAAGAAACCAGCCGGTGAGGGAGAAACTCGCTGGCAGCGGGAGGGTGAAGCCCCAGAGGTCCTCGGCGTAAGGAAGACGCTGTAACTTTAATTAGAGCGGGGTGCGTTTCGCCCCACCTCTGTCCAGCAGGTCTCAAAGGCTGCCTGTGCCCGGAACGCCTGGGCAGTGTGCAGTAATCAGTGACTGGATGAGAGGCTGGCGCTGCCCTAGCTCCCAGGAGGGGCCTGTGGCCCAGCCACCTCTGCTCGGCGGGACTCCATCTTCTCTATTTTGAGAAGCTGCAGTACATTATGTCCTGGGAAGTGCACATACGTAAGGGAGCCACAGAAAACCCTCTGCATCTGCGTCCAGCTCTGTAACCCCTTGGCTGAAGCTCCCCCAGGGCCCGGGGTCCCTCTCCCAGTTAGCCCCTCCTTTGGGTCACCACCTCTGACCCTTATTACTTTACCGTTTCCCCTTTTTAACTGACATAAATATGCACTCAAGTGTGTCATGTCTAGAATTCAGGCGGAGGGATCTCTCCAAGCTCCTTTTCAAGCTGTGTGATCACCCACCCTATGAACATTCCAGAATGTTCACCTCTCCTGTCGACAGCCATCTGGGCGCTTCCCAGTTTGGGGCGATTCTGCACGAGGCGGCTCTGATTGCTGAGCCCACGTAGATACAAATGCGCTCTGCTCTGGGGTGCCGCCTAGCGGGGTGGTGAGGGGCGCTCCAGCGCCGGCAGGGGCCGGCGTTTTGGGTACTGGCCCTAGGGCACAGCCCCGCTCACTCGCACATGCCACCTCCCGCCAGCGACCCCAGTTCCCGCGGCTCCAGCCTCCGGGCCACGCCGGCGGAGGGGGCGCAGGGTTTCTGTGCTTGTCCTCAGGACTTGGCGGGGCCAGGCTGGGAAGCCACAGGCATGGCGGGAGGAGACCAGAAAGCGTCGCTGGCCCTTTCTCTCCG